ATTAAATGATATAAATAAAAAGATAGAGGCACTTTGCCTCTTATCTTGAATCTTATGGGCTTTCTAAATGCATTTTAATAGACTAAATCACGCAGTGTATGCGTGCACTCTCGGAGTATGTTTTTGTGATACTCGATAACGTCAGATCGCACATCGTTAAAACAAAACTTACGATATTAGCTCAGAAAATATATATCACACACCCCATCCTTGACTTGAGTGGAAAATCAAATCAAGCGTGGTTGTGCGAGAACTTGTTTGCACATGCGCTAAATAAATTCGTCAAACCTGCTTTCTTGTAGTCTGTGTTCCGACTTTATTTTGCAGTAAGTAACGTCATGTTTACGTTTACGTTTATGCATTTAGCAGACGCTTTTATCCAAAGCGACTTACAGTGCATTCAGGCTATACATTTTTTTTTTTTACAGTATGTGTGTTCCCTGGGAATTGAACCCATGACCTTTTGCGCTGCTAACGCAATGCTCTACCACTGAGCCACAGGAACACATGTGAGCGTGTAACCGCGATAGAGACAATAGTCCAAAATCTCTACCGATTGACAAATTTCTACCGGTTAATCGTGTCTACCTGCTTTAGCTGTCCCTGGCTGCTCTCCGTCCTGATGTTATCACAGAATGAGATCAGAACGTTAAGAGCAAACCTCTCTGACTCCTTCATCCGTCACCGACATTACACATTGTATAAGAGATCCAAAGGGGACACTTGTCCTTGACATGCACTTGGTACAATCAATCACACTACTACCAACACCACAGAGAGCGAGAGATAGAGAGACCCTGTTAGACCACCTGTTCAAACTACAGCAGCCACAACAGATCGTTCAGAAAGAGCTACATCAGAGAAAAGAATCAGGACGCCGCGGATACTTCAGGATAAACACTACTGAATTGAGAAAGTCAATGCTGGGAATGTAAACACAAGCGTATCTGCCAGTGAAGGTGTGGTTGACTTCCTTTCTTTCACAATCGAAAAACAAACCAGCAAAAGTTACCAAACACTAACCACAGTGACGTATATGAGGCAACAGTTATGACAACACCAGTATGCCCTGACAAACTAGTGCAGTATATATCATGTGTACTATGGACAGGAGAAAAATATTTAGGCTCCATCTGAATATTCATTACTATGGAAGCCCGTTTCCGCCACTGAATAAAAAATAAAAGAGGTAATTGCGACTTTTTATCTCACAATTCTGACTTTTTTTCTCAGAATTGTGTGATATAAACTCGCAATTGCGAGTTAAAAAGTCATAATTGTGAGATATAAACTCGCAATTCTGAGAAATAAAGTCAGAATTGCGTGATATAAACTCACAATTGCGAGAAAAAAAATCCGTCAGAATTGTGGGATAAAAAGTCGCAATTACCTTTTTTTTATTTTTTATTCAGTGGCGGAAACGGGCTTCCATAAATTACAATTTAGAAGGCAATAGTAAAATAAATAAATAAATAACTCGACTTAATACTTTCTGAAGTGTGCATTCACTGGACACTTTAAATTCCCATGAGGCCACAGGAAAGGATTTGTGAATTGCAGTGAAATGACGCAACTGACAATGACATGACGACGGATGCACCGAAATGAAAATTATGTGCCGAAACCGAAAATTACTTATTTTAAAATATTTTAAAACACTTTTTGTATACTTGATTGTATTAATATTAGGTTTTTTAATTTCATGAAATTGAATGAGACTGAACGGAAAAACTACAAACCAATAAAATAATCACACTCGGAACGGTTTATTGAAAATAGCACAATTAAATCTTAGTGCTGAGCACGGGGGGAGGGGCAAGGGGGCATATACTTTCGGTTTGTATTTCAGCATTTTTTTCCTTTGGGCCAAAAACCGATGATGCCATTTTCAGCATACTACACACATTCATACTATATAGAACATACTGTTTAAGTTTCACAAAATAAGAACTCATTCAAAAGAAGTACCTACCGATTTCAACAAAACCTTTCTTAAACATGCAGTAAATTGTGGAAGCTTGTTTCTGCCACGGGATTAAAAAAAGGTTATTACTGTTTAACTCATAATTCTGAGTTTATAACTCGCAATTCTCCAAAAAAAAAAAAAAAAAAGTCTGAATTCTGAGCCAAAAATTACCTTTTTTGTTTTTTTTTGTTCCAATCTTCCACAGTAGGGCTGCACGATTAATCGAATGTGATTGTCATGCGCTTTTAGTTAGTAAAACCGGTTCTGTAATCAGTAAAGTAATTTCAGCATTAATAATTAATTCAGCATTAAGTGCTATAGCTGTTTTATATACATGTATACATAATAAATGGATGTTCTTTCCGTTTTCATCAAGGAATATGAAGCAATATATCTTGCAAAGCTTACCATCAAGATGATGTCACCCATTCAGTTGGGCAGGTCTTTCTCCATCCAAGCTGGGATGCCAGGTAAGAGAACATTCTTTTATGGCCAAACAGTCAGTTTGTGAATATATTAATCATTTCTAATAGTGATACGTAGTATATTGGTACTAGGGCTGCACGATTAATCGAATGCGATTGTCATGCGCATTTTGATAGTAATGCCGGTTCTGTAATCAGCAGGAAATCATCATCACGTGCTTTCAGATGGAGCAGAATTTACTACACATAGCCGTCACTGACAAGTTACGCAAAAAAAACAAAATCGCAGACGATTTAATCGTGCGATTCTGAAATCGAAGAAATCATTCGCGATAATGACAGCTGTTTGCGTAGCTTCTCAGTGAACTACGGCTCTGTGAAGTAAATGCTGCTCCATCTGAAAGCATGTGAAAATACCACATTTAATAACATATTTTTTACTCCAAACTCACTTCATAACGTCAGTCGAGTGTTTGAAATAAATCCTTCTGTGAGATGACGTAGCTTCTTACACAGAATAAGGCACGTAACTATTTCATAATATTCTAAGCCGTGATAAAGGCTATGTCGATTAGCATTGCATTATTATATACTTTATTATAATAAAAATTATAATAAGACGAACTCGGATAAACCATAAATTGTCGTAGTCGTGTGTTTATTAGTCACGTTGAATCAATGAAAGCAGTTGAATCTTCTGTTTATTCAGCTGCAGCGATGGGTTTCTTCTGCGAGGAGTATTTGGAGTTTCAGCGCGAGAGCGCCCTCTGGCCTTCGGATGGAGATTTACTGCTGATCACAGAACCGTGCTTCACTGAAAGATACGCATGACAATCGCAGCTTCTCGCGATCTCGATTCCATTTCGATTTATCGTGCAGCCCTATTCCACAGTATACAACAAAGCACACTGTGTGGAAGTCCCACAATGCAGTGCGCTCAACTTAACAGGCCCAGTGACATGAATGAACGTAACTTCAGCCATCTTTTTTTTTCTTGACTGATTATTTGATTCGTCCGCCAAACAAAACAACGTTTTTAAATCAAATTTAGATTCGCAAGATAACTGGATGCCACTTGCTAAATTAAATATGAACGTAATAAGGTCATGTGACAACAACATAGCGTACTACAGTTTGAAATGTTTACCGTTATCAATAAAAGCGGTTTCACATAATATTCTCTTTAAAAATAGGCAAAATTCCAGTCAGTAGCCTGTTGTAAGTGGAGTAAACTTTACCCTACTTACTAGGGTTGAACTACAGGGAATCCACTCACTCTTTGGCTTACTACACGCATGTGTACTTCATAAACAATACACACATGAATTAGTCAAACCAGTGTGTGCGCGCATGTGTGTGTACTGTACTCAACAACTGGACCATTTCAAACAATCAACACAACGAACCTACTAACACATACCACAATAAGAACAAAACACACACATGAGTCGATGTGAATGATTAAAGTGTGCTTGGGTTCATTTGGCTACATTTTCAGGGAAGGTAAATAAAAAAACTGAGTGTGAGTGTGTTGCAACCGTGCTGATGGATGAATTCGACTCGGAGGCATGTCCGTTTGTGGCAAACACTTCTTCTCCTTACAGGAAACACTCAAAACAACCACAAGAAACGTCAAATGTGAGCAGCTGTAAAACTGGCTTACACATTAATAAACCCTCAAATACAAACTGATATGAAATGCAGTAGTTTTCTTTATGTACCACTTTTGTACTTCCGCCATGACTGTATGGCAATATTTTGACTGCTGTACTTACCTTCGATAAACATCTCATTTTAGTGCATGTATTTTCAGTAAATGAATATGGCAGTTATGTCTAGTCATATCATGTCTATCCATCTGTTTATGTGTACAATCAGTAGAGCATGCTGTGGGCAACACCAATGTTTGATTCCCAAGGTACATATGAACTGATAAAATGTATACAAGGTGTCACTGTAGATAAAAGCATCTGCCAAATGCATGAATATAAATATATGTAACTATCTACCTATCCATATTATGGATATATCTTTTTTTCCATCTATCCAGCCAGCAAACTGTACATTCATGCACCTCTTTATCCATCAATATGTCCATCCATTTTCAATGTGCAAAGCCAAAATGTCTCCAAAACAGATTGTTTTCTCCCAGAGCAGCTTTGACTTGATTTGCATGACTATGAATGAAGCACATCGCGTTGGTTTCCACTGAACAGTGTCTTGGTCTGTATTACACAGACAGATCATCTCAGTGAGCTGCTGGTGGATTCAAACACAAAGCTGCTCTGCCTAATCGTTTCCTTAAAGAGTCAGACTGGCTAACAGCAGGCTAGCCCTCACAATAGAATGAAAACATTGCCAATCTGAACCCGAGACGGTCAACGTTGAAAAGCTATTTACATGTAAACAAACGCGACGTGACTTTATATGACGCAATGAACGCATCCGACACGACGAAAAAACGCTTTGAACGAGCACACACGGCTGTCTCAAGCCCCATTGAGCGGGTCGCCGGGATTTGACACACAGCCCACCTCAAATGAGCCTAAAACGCCAGAATAAAAGGTGGCGGTGAATAACGGTGTGATCGATTATTAATCACCGGTTACCTCGAACTGCCAGTGCGCCGCCTGCAGAAGCTGCTTCGCCTGGTCCGCCGCGCAGCCCGCGGTCAAAACAAACTGGTTAATCATCACTTGATGTCTCAGCTCGTCCATATTCACCGACATCGCCGCTGTTCGCTCCTCCGCGACTCCCGGGAACGGAAATCTCCGTATGATGTTTGCGTGTCCGTTGAAAGCGAGCGTCCCTGCCAGGCTCTTCCTTCACGCTCTCTCCTCTCGCTCGCCTTCCAGTAACAACAAATATTTTCAGATCATCATCACCACCAACAACAAACCCAAACGCGCCCTCTGATTGGCCACGGAGCCACACAGCGAGTATACACGGGCGTCCCATTGGTCGATCGACGTGTCTCGCGTGGTTGGACGCTAGCGATCGGCATGAGCACTCTGATTGGTCAGAATAGCAGGAAAGCGTCGCGTTTTCATTGGTCAGATTAAAAAAAAAATTTTTTTTATTGCTTTTACTGGATGCGCACACTTTTTTATTGAACTTTCAAAATGACAGAATTCAACAGCAGGTTCTTGACATATTTCTTTACTTTACTTTACTTTTAGTCATTTAGCAGACGCTTTTATCCAAAGCGACTTACAAATAAGAAAAAGTAATTAAAACTAAA